TTGGTCGTAACACGAGTCGAACGATTCAAGTGGATCAGCGGAGGAGTGTAAATATTCGCTTTAACTGGGGACAGAGGGTACGGATGTGCAATCGCGCGGCTCTTACCGAACTCCCAGAAGTAGCAGCATGAAAGTGCTCGCCATCGTGAACAGAAGACGTACCCGATAACTAGTAAAACGCCGGTGAAAAACGCGCAGATGACGGAAATCGTAAGGACTATCGGGCTGCTGCCTGCAACCTCAGCTTCCTCACTCACCTCCAGTGTCTGTGCAGCATTACCTGCGACAAAACCAGCATTAGTACCCCGTAAGTTGGTTCTAATTTAACTTCTCACTTTTTTCATATGTACAACGTTTTGCCTGAACATCAGGAATTCCTTTACACAACTGCGTCATGATGCAGCTGCGAACCCGAACATGAAAGCCAAATTCGTTGCACACTGTCCAGCTGCTCCATTTCGAAAAGCCTTCTAGAAACCCGTCACAATTATAATCGCAACACTCAACAGTCAGTGGTTTCATACATGTAGTTTAATCAAGAAGAGATATAATTCAGAAGCGAATCGCAAGTCCCTCCCTAAGGTTTACTGATAATGAGCAGTAACTGCAAAAACTGGTAAACGGATTCCCTTGTTGTGCCTGTTGAAATCATCGCCTTGAGCAGTTTGCATAAGCAGAACGTATCTAGTTTGTAACGTGTTCGCTGCCCTTCATCAATTTTGTTATAGGGTACCTTTTACTGCATCGCAGAGGTTGAAACTCTTCTTACCTGACTTATTATGCTGACTTAATACTCATTGTCTGCCGCCTTTTGGCACCAATATGAAAAGTGCATGAGCCCAGGTTATTAATTTTTCTCAACCAGCTTTTCTAATAGCACCAACTTCCTTTTATTAATTTCTGCACCTATTGAGGTCACCTGTGCTCCGAACAGATTAGAATGTTTCCTTGTACGATCCATTTAACCCTTATTATACATCAAAGCCAACGCTGGTCTTTCTTGCTCTTTAGTTACTACAACTGTCTCCATGCTCTACAACAACGCTGAGCTGACTGGGGTAGGTACAGGTGGAGTTCTGTGGAAAGTGTTACTTCTTTTTCGGCCCAAGCATTGAACAAATTTCCAGAAACACGTGAGGCCAGGGCGATCCTCCTATTTAACTCCGGTTAGAGTGTGCCACTGCTGGAAGTAATGGACCCAAGATACTTAAATCGGTAAGCTTCTAGAAGGAATTCACCTCCTTGTTTCACTTGTAGGCAGACAGTGCTGGATGAGTGCATCATAACTTCAGACGTCCGGGCGTTAAGAATGAAGCATGCGGAATTCGGGAGGTTACAGGCTACACTACACCTGTACGAATCACCCGGACAATATAATCTGAGTTTTCCAGGTCAGCATAACTTCCAACCGGATTCCATGTAGAATGAGACATTCGTGACAATGACGCTAGGCAATGCCAAAATTTTGGAGATAGCATGTTCATTAATACACGCTAGAAGATTTCCTATGATTTAACTAAAAGACCTTAAATCTGTTCCGTCTTAGGGAAAAAGCTTGCAGCGTAACTAACTAAAACATAGGCAATTTCAATAAAGAATAATTCTTTGATCGACCTTCGTCTTTTGTCCGAAAACACTAAATCGGAACAAGGAGATTAATCTGAAATCAGTGGTCCAGGATCAGAATGAATTTCCGAATTCATGAAAATAAATTAATTAGAATAACACGATCAAAAACAAAAATCTTACTCGATCTAGTTCATTTAGACCTGCATTCTTCTAAATCCATCTCATCTGAGGCAAATCTTAGTGTTAAGATTTTAACGTAAAACACGTTTAATTAGGATGTAACCCGCTTACTGCAAATTTCCGGTAAATCTGTTTATGTTAGGGTCACACCGTAATGAAACTGCCGCATATTAAACAGTTAACAGTCGGCTTTGTGTCTTATGCCATAGAAGAAAACGAAATGATTGTAAAATAAAGCTAATTTTGAACACAAATTATTATATTATGAACATTCTGAAATTTGTAACATGTGGTGGCGTTATTTTCAGACTAAAAATAGGCCCTGCTCGACCCTAGTTTTCAGTTTTCACAAGAAGGAGCAAACCGAGAGTCACATGACAGAAAATTACTTGACTTGAATATTTAATGTTATTGCGTTTAAGAACTAAACTGGAATTTATCTCTTTGCGCATGACTTACGCCACCTCATGAAACTGCCGTACTGGCGTGCAAAGAACCGAATGGATCGATCATTCGGTCCTTATTATTGAGCAGATAATTATTAAAAATGAAAAAATGTACATTACTGCTGTGACTGTTTATAACCCATTTAAATCACACAAATGTTTTACCATGCAAACAAGGACGTTCATTGCAGGCGACTGTCTGAGAATCTTCCCCGGTGCATGGTACATCTGAGTCAGTCGTCCGTACACAGGTGCGTTCTCGATGTTTGACTCCATTTCCACAAGTCTGACTGCAGGAACTGAACTCGCTCCAACAAGACCAGAAAGCTAAATTGGTTTCTGTGATCGAACAGAGAGCGGAAAAAGTGATTTTGGAAGCGCACCTTTACACGGTTCGAGGCCACACTCTCTGCTCTCTCTGGATACACCGATACACGCCTTGCTACTCAGCGGTGCGGGACAAACTCGGCTCCGGTACTGAAGACCTCGGCCACATGACCTACTGCAGTCCGACCAGCTTAGCCAGCTACCCCATGTACCCGAGATCACTGAAAAACAGCAAATCTTAAAATATCTAATGCGCCATTCAAGAGTCACAGAATGTACATGACTGGTCACATTCGGCTGAGCTAACAGAACACGTCTTTGCTTCGCTTCGTATGTAGGTCTCCAATGTTATTTCGTCGTTGTCGAACTTCGCATGACAGAACGAACGAAACCGCTTCAACGACAATGCACCGTTGACCGTTCCGTTGGTCTGTAGCCACTGAGACCACTCTGAACCAATCTGTTTACCTTTAGATAGACGATT